GCAGATCATGGAACAATCTACATAAAGGGGCTTCTGTCAGTTTTCCAGTTCTACTAACCTTATCCAGTTGAAAACAAATTTTCTTTAAGCTCCCCATAGCAACCGCGGTGCACTGGCATTTAGTCTACTGCCTGCGCGACTGCTTCGGCGTGAAAAAAATGTTTTTATCATCTAGTTGTGGGGCCGAGGAACATGTGTTTAGCTACCTGGTCGATTTAAGGATATTTGGCATTTGGTAAAAATACTTATGACCTTCGTTGTGGTAACAGCACTTATACCTATATATTTTCTTAAATGGCAAGGAACTAGGTGTGTCTTTCTCAATTGCTTCAATCATATAATTGATTTCAGATTTATTGGATTGACAAGTTTCTGTTTTTGGAAGCCTGAAAGGATAATTGAAAAACCTAATAAAATGAAACGGAGTTCTTTAAGAACGGTTAAAGCGATTGACGTAAACAGGGAGACGAAAAAGAGATACGTGTATGACAATAAATAAAAGTCAAGTAAGCTATTACAGGTTTCCGGTTACACGTAGCGATGACCTTGGAGCTCATTTATATTGCCTATCCGCCTAAGAACATCAGGATTATAGGCAGCTTTGTTCTACCCCTTGAGATCCACGACATACTTAATTTGAAAAAGAGTAGTCAAAGGTCGTAAGGTTGCCGACGTGCAAATTTATTACTGTATTCTGCAGCTTGGAAGTGGAGACAAGCCCTCAGACTTTAGATAATTACATTTCTCAAAGCTCACTGCAGAACTTGGCAGACTCAACCACAAAAGTCGAAGACATTAGTGAGAAACAGTTTGGAGTTACCCAACCACGAAGCGATCTCGTTTGTCCGAAAAAAGAAAGGAAATCATTAGAGTTATTTGGCTGCACCTCCGAGAAACTATGCCAGAAACGTACACCAGTCATGCCTGGCACTACATAAATATAAGACGAATCTACCTGTATACTGCTTCTTACAAAAAATTCCTCCTGAATGCCGTATTGCAACAGAACATTAAGGAGTTTGGTACTATTTTAATATTTGTTTAATATGACATGTTGGACTCTCTTGAAAATAACTTTATCTAAACGTCGCTATCGAAGAACTAATATTTTTTCGAAACAGTGTTTCTTGTTTAGCGACCGTTTGCAATAAAAGCAACTGGTGAGAACAAGCCGCCGACAGTGCAAATGTAACCACTAGAGTTTCTGCTCGAGAGTTCTCGAGACAAAACTTATCGTGAAATTTGTATTTGGTTGTGATGAGAAAAAACTTAGCACCTCGAGAACTCGAGAAATCAATTCCGTGCGCTGGGTAACTAAAAAACCACGCATATAACACGTGACGAGTCTAAGCATTTGCAATGAAACAAGAAACCGTCTATCAAATGATGCTGTTAGTGTTCTTGTATTTCTGGAAGCATATTTTAGAAGAAAATAGCGTTGTATTAAAAATTTATACTTTTGTTATTATCTTACTGGTTGCCAGTTAGCATACTATGCTCAGGAAAAAAAATAGTATTGAAAGTTAATTATTATTTGTTTTATCGAACGACTATAGTGTTAGCATAATAAAGGGGGGGTCATTAGTTGTTTTTTTTTAAGTGGGTATCATTTTGACAGTTTGACATACTGACAGATATATTGTGTCAAACTTCCGCTGTGGGCAATGGTTCGTTTTAATCTTGAACAGAGGTGGGATTGATTGAAAAACTATATTCAAAATGAGTGCTGTGTTGCAGAAACTTAACGAAAATTGAGAAAACTATTTGGTCGGAACGAAGCTCCGTCCGCGACTGGTATACGAAAATTCCTGAAGGTTCGTGAAACTGGCCTGCTTGTAACAGAAGGTATGAGCGTGTTCGATCCGTACGTACAGCCGAAAACATTGCTGCTCTTGCCTAGAGTGTGCGCGAAAACGCAAAGATCTCAACCCATCACAGAGAGGACAAGTGGGTATCAGTCGCACTTCTGTGCGGAGAATATTGCATAACGACCTGGGATTATTTCCTTACAAGATGCAAGTTGTGCAAGGGTTGAATCAAAATGACCATCCGCTTCGACATTGTTTCTCTGTGCGGGCTCTAAATTAATTGCAATCGGACGTCAATTTTGGTCGCCAAATCATCATTTCAGATGAAGCCCATTTCCATCTGGGGGGGTACGTTAATAAGCAGAAATGTAGGATTTGGGGCTCTGAAAATCCACATGTCGTCATAGAAAAACCAATGCCTCCCAAAGCTTTCAGATACAATTATCGCAACCAGAATGCCTTGCTGAGTTACTGTCTGTTTTCGGCAAAGAAGCGCCACATTAGTCGACAAGTTCCCGTTGGTATGGAGAACTCAAACGTGGACGGGTAAGTCTTAGGGCCGGTATTATAAAAGCTGCTCTTGACCGAAGGTTGTTCAACCACCGGTTGAAATTCAACCGCCGGCTGAGAGCTGGTCGGTATTATAAAGCAACTTACAACCATAAGTTGGCTAACCGAGACTTGACGCTCGTTAAGGTCTGTTGGCTACACTGATATTTTGATTTGACCCAATGAAATGCGAGTTATTTGGCGGAAGAAACAAACGTCATTTGCCAGGAATGTCAATTCTCTATTTTCCTCCGCTATTTATCGTTTTATTTGTGAATTAAAGTTATTTAATATGTCTACGAGAAGCAAAAGAATAATATATTCAGAAGCTGATTGTCATACGCTTGTGGATATAATTATTTCTCATAAGAATATTATCGAATGTAAGAAAACAGATGCCACAACTTGGAAAGAGAAGGTGAGTGATTATTTCTATAAATTCTTAGTAAAAAATCTACATGTGGGGTATATTTTAGATAACTGCATGGGCAAAAATAGCAGATATTTATAATGCCACTACTATGGAGCCAAGAACAGCTGAACAGTTACGTTGCAAATACGATAACCTAAAAAAAGAAGTGCGCAAGCTCGAGGCTCACAAAAGACAAGCGTTATATCAGACTGGTGGTGGTGTGAGCGAACCTGATATAAAAGGTTCACTTAAATTATTGTATGCTAAAATTAATAGTATAATTAGCTTCTCAGTCCAGGGTTTAGAGCCTAGTAATGGTGATAGCGATTTGGTGATGGATGTAGTAGAGAAGGGACAGCCTAGTATGTATAATAATTTAATATTCTATAATGATTTCAGCATATGCAAAATTATATTTCAGATACATTGCAGCAAGCTTTAGAAGAAGATATTCTATTTGATAACCTGCCAAAAGAGACAGTTGCTGAACAAAAAAATGGTATACATTGTCTTATGTTTAATAATATACTCCCTATATTTATATTTTAGATATTTTTAAGAATAGTGAATCTGAAGTAAAAGAAAACGAAATGCTAACAGAAACAAAGAAAGATCCTGAAATTAAGAAAGGTAGTACAAATCAATGGTCTGTACATTTTCCATTATTATATGAGTATATATATTTCAGACTGGTCAGATTACACTCCTAAAATGTTACGAAGCAAAAGACATAGAGTATTACAAGTGAAGAGAAAGGCAACTGATCACCAAAGTGATGATGATAAACAAAATTTAAAGAGGAAATTAATGGAGGAGGAAGCCCAAAGAAATAAGGAATATCATATTGCACGTATGGAACGAGAAGCAGAAATCCATAAGTACAAAATAGAAAATATAAGATTGCAAAATGCAAAATTGCAATTGGAGATAGAGTTGCTAAAAAAACAATTATAAAGGAAATAAAAGTTTAGTTATACTGTTAAAAACTTGTATTATTTATTCATATATTTCATTTCTAATTGTCAACATAAATATCTCTATAGAGAACTATGATTTGTGCGCCATAACATATATACTTCAATGAAAAGGACATATACATATAGAACAAAAAGTATAAATAATAAAACAATAATATAATTTTTATTGTGCCTGCTCTAACAAATTTGAAAAATATAAAATAAATTCTTCTCGAAAGTTATGATTTCCATCTCCAACTGGAACATTTTCATGTATGGGTTCATTGCCAATTAGAGTATTAGGATCTACTATTGGATCTGGCTCTTTCATATCGATGGCCAGGTTATGTAATATGGCACAAGCGACAATAATGTTCTTTGCAGTGCCAAGTAAGACCCTTATTCCAAGTGATAAAATAGGAAACCTTCTTTTTAATACTCCAAATAATCGCTCAATTGGGTTCCGACTTCTAATTTGTGCCTCATTAAAAAGTTGTTCACTGTTTGTTCTGGGATTTGCAATTGGAGTAATTAAGTATTTTTTTAAACCATAACCTGAATCTCCAAGCAGAATGGCATTTCCAAATTCATTTTGTTCAAGTCGACCTTGTAATCTGCTGTTAGCAAATATTGTTTGATCGTGGCTTGAGCCTGGCCATCGTGCAACAATATCCCTAATTTTTAGCTCTGAGTCACCTACTACTTGCACATTAAGAGAAAAATAGCCTTTTCTATTTCTAAAATATTCAGCATTTTCCCCTCCTACAAAAATACGAGAGTTACTTATTATTACAAACCTAGTGCAAAAAAAATCACCTGGTGAAATTATTTTTATATGAGTGCAATCAATAGCTCCTACAACTCGAGGAAATCGAGCAATTGAATAGAACTTATGTTTAGTTTCTTCTATTTCTTGTTGGGTCCTTGGCATATATATAAATTCTGGAGCCAATGTTGCAATCATTTTAACTATTTTCTTTACAATCTGACCTGCTGTGGACTTATGTATACCTGCAAAGTCACCAATTGTTTGCAACATGCATCCAGTAGCACAAAATCTCAAGGCAAGAAGTATTTGTTGCATTGATGTTATCGCACAGTTCCTAAAAACAACAAATTTAAAACATACTCGTCATTTCATGCAATTTACATTTTGTATAATTACCGGTTAGTTTTCGGTGCTATCTCATTCCGAAATCTTTGCTCTAGCATTACGACCGTATCCTTGCTTAATCTAAATCTGATTCGAAATTCCTCGTCGCTCCAACGGGTGAAATGATCCATTCTTGCTCTAAAATTGCGAGGTGCCCTGGTTCTAGGTTCTTCACTCTCATCAGAATCCGACGATTCGTTACTACTATCTGCCCAAACTAGTCTGCTATGCAAATTTAATTCAGTTTCTGGTGATGATGATGGAGATGCCATTTTTTGACAAATAATTTTGTAACTTCATAAACATAAACACACTAATCACAATTTCGTTATTTGAGGTTAGAATGCCGCTTTAAACCTTCGGTTGACAGTTCAACCTGAGGATAGGTTCGAGTTGACTGAACGAGCGCTCAACCCGCGGTTCAACCTTCGGTTATCGTTTATAATACGTAAAGTGCGGTTTGAGTCGAGTTTGACATTCAACCTCCGGTCAACTAGACATTATAATACTGGCCCTTAGTGACGATCCCAGAGTGGGTGCACCAAAAATGACAGTCACCCAGGAAAACGTCGATGCTGTGCGCAAACTCATCATTGAAGATATACATGTAACATATCGTGAGATTGAGGCGTCCTTGAAGATCTCAAAGACCTCAATTCAAAAAATTTTACATGAAGAATTAGGAGTAAGAAAATTAGTTTCTCGTTGGATACCCCAACTGTTGACTGATGAGCAGAAAGCAGCCAGTTGGTGACAAAAAACGCTTGACCGTTTCAATTCCGGAAACTCAAAAAATGTGTACAGCATTGTTAGTGGATTTACTGTTATGAACCAGAAAATAAACTACAGTCGGCTGTTTGGGTGTTCCAAGGTGAAGACAAGCCAACAAAAGTCATCCGTTCTCGAAGTGTTTCGAAAAAGATGGTCATGACATTTGTGTCAAAAGCGGGCCATATTGCAACAATTCCCCTTAATGAGCAAAGAACTGTTACTGCGGATTGGTATACCACCATTTGTTTGCCAAAAGTCATCACCGAGCTTCAAAAAATCAACCCCGAAAGAAGAATCATCCTCCACCAAGACAATGCAAGCTTGCACACAGCCCAAAGAACAAGGCAGTATTTAACGGAAGAAAACGTGGAATTATAGGACCATCCTCCATATAGTCCCGATCTAAGTCCTAAGGATTTCTTTACTTTCCCGAAAATTAAAAACAGACTGCGTGGTCAAAGGTTCCAGTCACCAGAAGAAGCAGTTGACGGATTCAAAAATGCCGTTTTGGATCTGCCAGCAAATGAGTGGAATAAGTGCTTCGAAAATTGGTTCGAGCGCATGCAGACGTGTACTAATCTTCGTGCAGAATACTTCGAAAAACAATAAAGTCGTTTAAAACTACCTAACGTGTTGTTTTATTTCCATATGCAAAACTTAAAAGACATCCCTCGTATTCTTTTGAATAAAGAACCGAGTGTTACGTTTTATTGAAAAGTGTAGTTTTAATACCAATTTAAAAAAGACACCAACGGATGGCCCACCCTTTAAATTATAAATATAAAAGTCATTTTCAGTTTAAGTTGGTTAGAATATTTGCTTTTTAAATAAGGTTTTATAGTTACCTCAGTACCTACTAGTAATTTTGTTGATAGGTAGATAGATAGATAGATGGACATTTATTTACAACAGGTACATGTGCACCCAATAACAGGAAATGCGTAAAATCAAATGAACATTTCGTTTTATGTAAAAGAAAAAATATAATTAATGTTATATAAAAATGAACACTTGAATAACATAAAAAAGATGTTTCGAAAAAGTTACATATTAAATGTGACCTGCAAAATAAAACTACAAACTAGCGAGATAGAGGAAAAATTGATGTCACAACTGTGACATATCAAATTAAAATTGTTATAAATTATCGAAATAGGCGACTTAGCTTAAATGTTGGTTCAAGGACATTCACAATAAAATACTCTAGAAATTCTGGTGTTGCGTCTGGGCACGGTAAATGGAATTTTACCTTCACTTAATTTTATGAATTATTTTTTATTTAATTAAAGACCATCGTACATTTGGGAACTGGTAGGAATAATTATGAAAAAGTTGAGTAAAGTATTCCTCATTACTTTTATATAGGTAGATCACTTAGCACTGTTTAAGTATTGTCTGTTGTTGATTTATTGATAAAAAGTGCAGTCTTTGAGTTAGTTGATCTCATCTATCAGTAAAATTTGAAATAAAGCAAACATTTAAAATAACTTAATGTTTTATTTGAAATGGACATCTGAAAGCATGACGGGCTACAAGCAGCAGAGCGACCACAGAGCGCCAGTAATGCAGGACATATACCAATACCGGTACGTTGGCCGCAGTCGTTAGTCAACAGACGCAGGAACGCTTGAGGAAAACATTTTTCTATCGTTTTAAGGGGAAATGCACAGGGCAACCTATGATGTGCGAAATATGTCTAACATGTGCTCAGAATTATAGGGACTAGAAGTGTATTAATATACCAATATCAAAAAATTGCGATACGCCCTCCTCTGTCCCTCACCCCTCAATTTTTCATGACTGCATTTAATCCAAAGAACGAAATTTGAGCCACATTTATTTTTCCCTTACTGCCGTTCTTCAAAAAAACAGATTTTTTGTCCTTGGCATTGTAGCAACCTTTATGTGAAAATTTCATCAAAATCTGAGCGGTACTTTCCAAGTTATAGCGGGGTCAATTATTAGCGGACAGACAGACCGGCGGAAATGAGTGTCTCGGCTTTTCGTGACATCCAACAAATATATCTCATTTTCAAAGTTTTCTGCGATTACAATACGTCCTCGCCCTGTGACGTGGAAGTAAAAACAAGACACCTTATTTTGCTTTCTATCATTGCTTCATCGATAGCTTTGGCTAAATTTATAGAATAATGAGGAAAAGCCTTAACCAGTATAATTTTTAAAAAGCTTTATATAGTCACCCCTCGTATGATTTTTCCTACCATGGTAATGGACTTTCATATGAAATTTTGTTGTATACTAGTTCTGTAATAACAGCAAAAAGTCCAAGTTGCATTATACATGAACGAGAGCTCGGCCGTAGGTAATCATACTTTATACTGATAAGATCTAATATTTCAACGTTCACTTAGTTTAGGAGTTCTTCTATTACATTGTCGTGTTCTGTCAATCTGTGAGATAATTTCGACTCTACACAGTCGAAATCCTGCTGCTTCTGCAATGCTGTGGCTGAAAACGGATGAAATCTGGCCAGCAGTGTATCCTAGATTATATAGATGTAAGTTAGGCGCTGCACGTCGTAATTTAGCAAACCATCTGGCATGCGATCGATCCCTTTCAATATGGCGGATGGCTGCAGGGTGTCAGGCGGTGGATTAACTTAGATCAACGTCTTGCGCTCTGTTAATGCTAGTGGTGATAGATGGGGTAACTATGTATGAGTAGCTTACGCGGGACGTCACTTCCATAGCTGACGTATATGGAGGATAGAGAGATGATTTTAATAGTAGTTCTGGTGCTTTGGACAATCGACAGGGATATAGAGTGTCTATTAACTATCCGAACACCCCGAAATGCTCGGCTACCAGGCCCATAACTGTCTCCGGGTCCTAAAAAGGCAATGACCTAAAATGTGAACTAAATAATGACTTCAAAGAACATTTGAAAGTTGAGTTTGTAGCTTCAAACAGCTTCCACCTTTTTGGACACTAGAGTTATGTAGAACTATAGATTCTAAATCAGATTGCATTTCTATACATGAGCTCTAGAGGTCATCACCGGTACGACTGTAACATCTGAAAGGTATTCCAACACCCAGACACAAGAGCAACGACACATCGAGGCTCAAACGAAGGTCTCAGAATATCAGAAACAGGATTCTTCGATTATCTCAGATATGACCTAAATAATTACATCAAAGGTCATTTTTCAGTAAAAGCAGGAGTTATTTTTAGAGCAAATTCGTGTAAGCTTCTAGATTTCACATTAAAGAGAACATTTTCATACGTCTGGAAAGTGCACGATAACCACGAAACAAGCTTTTCGGGAAAAATGTTGTGACAAAAGTTTAGGTATACCAAAAAAGTAAGTTATTGATGGCCTCAAATGAGATCCAGATAATCACTTTAGAGATCATTTGTGGCAGCAGATTCTACGTCAGAGCGTATATTTATGTTGCTGTCGAAAATGATGCTCACAAACTTATAAGCTCCAAATGATCTCTGGAATTATTATCTCGATCATTTTGAGGCTTATCCCTTAGTTATGAAGCCGATCTTCGTTCAGCAAAAACTGATTTCTTGTAATAACGTAAAGAAAAAGATTTTTTTTCTTGACGTATATTGATATGCATCTACATCAAGAAAGGCATATCACATATTTTCATGAGTTAATTTGTCTGTCTGTCTGGCATCTGTCCGGTAATCCTTGGCTCTTCTATAACTTGGAAAGCACGGCTTGGATTTTGATTAATTTTTACAGAAAGCTACTACTACGCCAATAGCTTTGTCAGTTTAAAACTAGTCCCATAAAGGATTTGCGAACGAATAACAAAAGGGTTCTGTGATGTTCTTGTGTATTCCACGACCTCCTGTTTGGTCAATTTGCGTTTTGGAAATTATTTTGACAAACACACTTGACCGTTTCAGTATATGTATAGTTAATCCGAAAATACATCTATGTACACAGACCGGATTCTGTGCTGAGCGGTAATAGGTATGGAATATAGCTTAAGGCTATAGTCTTAGGAAATCAATTTAATCGAAATCCTGTTAGCTAATTGAGCTTTGAGTAAAATATTGAGTCGTTTTTGTCTTCATAATACCTTATAGCAATCTCTTATACTTCCCACCACCTCCGTTAGGGCACTTCAATTCTCTACCTTAGACGTAAAGATCGCAAAGAGCTCCGTAGCTAAAATGCTAATTAAAATTAAGGAGTATCCATTTAACCCCGGCTTAATTCTTGAACCGTAATTAAATTGAGGAAAAAATACTTTAAGAACGATTTATTCCAAAGGTGGAACTTTTTAAGGTGTATTTAAGTGTTGTTTCTTAAGTGTCACGACAAAACAATGTAGTTACAGGACGCTGCGTGAGAAAGCTACAAGAATACTGAATTTATACAAAAAAGTTTAAATAACATATTCCTTGTTGTCGTGAACTTGCAGAAAGTGATTTGAATGGTAATTTATAACCAAGTAAATCGACTATTAATTCTACGATAAGGAATGATCCAATAAATTCAAGATGTTTGGGTGTGATATGCCAACTCGGGTGTGGTAAGTTAAGTCGTTGTGGGAGCTTTTCTGGCTTTTTGCGTGTAGCTCGTATGATCATTTGATTTATTTGCAGAAAATAAAGGACCATTCAAGGAGAAGAATGAATATGTCGATAAATTTTAACTGAGCAGAAAATGATTTACGTGGAATTGTTAAATCACTGCTTCGTAATAACAAGTTCAAATTGGCGTCATGATAGGGTTGCGTTTGCCGTCATTTTGATGGACGCTTTTGATCAAGTCTCGAGAACCATCGACTATGTAAACAAAAATAATAGAAACAATTTTGTGGGAAATTAAATATTTTTATCATTTTGCTTCAATGATGATTTGTTCCATGGCCGTCAAATTAAGAGAAATTGACGGGCTAAGGTATATGTAATGACATTTTCGCTTATAGTGGCTAAACCAACAATTTAAGAATATAATATCTGTTTTGTAGAGAATGAGATACAGGAAAGATGTGTTACGCTTTTGTCGACAGCTTAATGATTCTGGAAGAATAAGGAGCGAAATGAAAAACAAGTTGGCACACTACGCACGCTACGTACTGGTCAGCATACATATTTTTCATGTGGGGTTAAGTCCATGAATCATCATAATCAAGAATATAATTTTAAAGTGAATACATCTTTTTTACTGTCAGGCGTAAGTATGGACAATGTAATTTTTCTGGGTAATTTCTGATGTCACTCACTCCCATCAGCCTGTCATATGTCCATTTTGGACGTAGATAGGTATCATCCATCCTTATCAATATCGGTAAACATGTTGTACAAAAGTAATAAACATTTTCCAATCAATAATCAAAAGCGTTACAATTTCAGACGTGCAAATTTTATCTTATTATACATATAATAGTCTGTTGACAAAGCTCATAGAAAGTTCAAGCAAACTAGATTTCTTACACATTATCAATAGTTCAGTAGGCTTCAAGGAGTGTTTAAAGAAAAAACTAGAGAGGCGTATAATATAAACTTTCGATCAATGCAAGATCATTTCAAGGCGGAACCTAAATCTTTCTGGGCTTTTAACCATAGTAAAAACAACACAACTAGAATACCTAACAATATGAT